CCTCGTTAGCCAGCCTCGCCAGGACAGCTAACACTCATGGATGTGACAGCACCACCGTCAACTTCGGCCTTCTCAACATCCGCTCTCTCGCTGGGAAAGGTCATCTCATTCACTATCTCATCAAGGACCGTGGAATCGACTTCATGTGCCTTTGCGAAACTTGGCAGCAGCCAGCTGATTTCTCCCAGCTCAACGACGCTACTCCTCCCGGGTTTGTTTACCTCACCAAACCACGCGGTTCTCGCGGAGGAGGTCTCGCGAGAATTGGAAAGTTTTGCCAGTGTCTGTCTCTGATTTTAATTCCTTTGAGTATTTGGTTTTTAAACTTAATGGACCTACCCCCACTATCATTGGATTAATCAACCGCCCCCCTAAACCTCACAAAGACTTTCTGTCAGAAGTCTCAGTACTGCTCACTCATTTATCTACACTCTCATCTAATGTAATAGTGCTTGGAGATTTTAACATACACATGGACAACAGCGATCTTCCCCTCACCAAAGTCTTTTCATCCTGCCTGGACAGCCTTGGATTTAATCAGCACATCAACTTTCCAACTCACTCCAAAGGACACTGCCTGGATCTGCTGTGCTGCTCTGGTCCCACCCCTCCTAACTGTGCAGCTGATGATCTCCACATCACTGAACACTATTTTATTTCTTTCAATATTGTAACCCAGCTTTCTTTTACCAAACCAACCCGGCTCATTTCTTTTAGGAATATAAAGGACATCAGTATCGACACTTTATCCTCCTATATTGATAATATTCAGCTACCGGGCAATCTCTCCTCTCCTGATGACCTGGCTGCTCTCTACAATTACTAGTTAGCTCACATTTTAAACTCCCTTGCTCCAGTTAAAACCTGTTCTGTTACTTTCTGTCAATCTGCTCCCTGGTTTTCCCCTCAACTCCGGACGCTGAAAACCAAATCCAGGCAGCTTGAACGCCTCTACAGGAAAACTGGTCTCACCATTCACAAAGAACTATATAAAAATCATATGACTCAGTATAAGAACTTAATTATACTAACCAAACAACAGTATTACTCCTGTCTAATCAACTCCAATTGAGGCAACACTAAAGCCCTTTTCATATAGACATTCTGGAACATTTGTGGACAATTGAATCCGGTTTTTAACCGGAACTGTGTTTTCAGACACACCACTTTTGTACCGGAACTTGTCCTTTCGGCTGCGTTCACACAGCAGGGAAAAGTTCCAGATGTCTGACGGCGGCGGGGGGGTTTGGACTCATGTTAAGAAGAAGAAGAAGAAGAAGAAAATATCATTTCTATAGCGCCTCTCAGGATAAAAATCACGAGGCGCTTAAGCATAATTCTGCGCATACAAAGATGCATAAGAGACCTCGATGATGAAGCTCAATGGTTAAAGGAATCACTGAAGCGGTGTGAAGCGCTCCGTCACGCGTCTAGACGGTACCGTAGGAGGCGAGCTGCCGTGGTTCGCCGCATTCTACAGCAGCGAGCTATATAGGTGCACACAGCGTCCCCCGGTCCCCTCCCCCTCCCCCTTGTCCGGAACTTTACCTCACCAGTCTGAATCAGCCACCCTGTCCGTAACAAGTCCGGACCTGTTACTAGGGGCTTCGTCCGGATAAATTCCGGAACACGTTATCCGGATGTTTGTATTCAGACACAAAGGTCTTACGGACAGAGTCCGGAACATTTCCGTTTTTCATGGCCTGTCTGAAGGGGGCTTAGGTCACTGTACTCCATTATCAATAAAATTCACCGGCCGTCCGATACTCTGCCCCCACACATGTGCTCTACTGCTACCTGTAAGGCCCTTCTTCTGTTCTTCAACGAAAAAATAATAAACATTCACCGTGCAATCAACCAAAGCATCCCCCCTACCTCCCCATATGATCCTCCCGAACCAACACAGTTATTTTCCATTTTCCAACTTCCCAGTGATTCTGAGATATCAGATGTTATCCACAAGTCAAAGCCTCCTACCTGCCTTCTCGACCCCCTTCCCACGGCCTTGGTTAAATCCTGCCTCCCCTCCCTGCTCCCTCTCGTCTCCGCTCTCATACACGCATCCCTTTCCTCCGGTATTGTTCCCTCTATCTTCAAAACTGCTGCAGTTACTCCAATACTTAAAAAACCTGGTTCGGATCCTAACATTTTTACTAATCTCCGCCCCATCTCCAACCTACCCTTTGTCTCCAAAGTTTTAGAAAAAATAGTCGCTACCCAGCTCCACACCCATCTGACACTAAACTCCTTCTATGAACCCTTCCAGTCCGGTTTCCGCCCACTTCACAGCACAGAAACAGCCCTCCTCAAAATAACTAATGATCTCCTCATCGCTGCTGATTCCGGTCTACTATCCATCCTGGTCCTCCTTGATCTGAGTGCGGCCTTTGACACAATATCCCATTCCATTCTCCTCCATAGGTTTTCTTCCATCGGCATTGCTAACATCCCACTTCAGTGGTTTCAGTCCTACCTATCAGGTCGCACTCAGTTCATTACTATCGAATCCTCCCGCTCACAGCCCTCTTCTGTCTCTTCTGGTGTGCCCCAGGGCTCCGTCCTGGGGCCCCTCCTAGGGCTGCTCAATTAATCGAATTTTAATCCCAATTACGATCTGAGTTTTGAATGATTATAAAAACAAAACAAGCCGATTATTTGCTCCTCCCACTTGCGCTGCCCTGAGTTGCAAATGAAGCGCTCCTCCACAGTGTTGCCAACTTGGCGACTTTGACGCTATTTCCAACAGCTTTTCAGACCCCCTTCTTGACTTTTTAAATCTTACAAGTACCTAGCGAACACCTCAGAAACATCTCTGGTAACCCTTAGCTACTTTCTGGATAACTGTCGTCGACATTTCCTGCAGGTTAGCTAAACACTCCGCCTGCGCTCCGGACCATTCTTCAGGACATTAGGAAAGGGAATGGTGTAGTGATGTGTCAGTCGCTAAAGAAACAGTTATATGGCTCACTGTTGGATTAACCAGAGTGAGTGACACACACCGCACCTGCGGGCTCCTGAGCCGCTAAAAACGGCTAAATGTGCGCGTGCGGCACGCTAAACACACGTGCAGCTTGCCCCTGATTGCTGTGAGACCGGGTTGGGAGGTGGGGGGTGCAGCTGTGGTTGGGACAATTATTACATTAACTGATGGACCTGTAAATAAATAGTTTATAAATAAGGTAGAAATAAGTTCCTCACGCTGATAAACAATAACTAATCTCTCTGAGGACACGGTGCTAGTGCACTCTCCTACAGCACCTTGACATGACTAAATAAATGTTATGCAACATTTTGTGAACATCAATTTATTTGCATTTATTTGTTATAAATGCCGCTGTATAATTCTTGCTGTCAGTATTTGCAAGATATTGGTATTTGGGTCTGTACTGGTTAGACTTACATGAGTTAAACCAAGGTCTATAGCCCTTGGGTCTTAAATTATGAGCTATAAGTTTATTGGTCTTTTTATACTGGGAATCAGGAGTTATTTTAGTGATCATCTTGTTTCTTATTTATTTTTGTCCTGATTGCGCCCTGAGCAATTTTATGACTGAATAAAAACAAATAAAATCAACATAAGTTGAAAAATTGTCTTAAATGACCGAGATCTCAATTTCAGTCACAATAATCGTGATTATTGTTTTTGCCATAATCGAGCAGCCCTAGCCCCTTATTTTCATTATATACAACCTTCCCCTTGGCAATATCTTCCGCAGATTCAATATTCATTTTCACTGCTACGCGGATGACACCCAGCTCTATTTGTCCAGTAAGCCAAATTCTGCACTTCCTCCCTTCTCCCTCATCACCTGCCTTCAAGAAATAAAATCCTGGTTCAGTTCGAACTTCCTGAAATTAAATACAGACAAAACAGAACTTCTTTTGGTTGGTACCAAGAACATCCTCTCAAAATTGGACAGTTTCTCTCTCACAGTTGATAATGCCTCAGTTTCCCCCTCTCCCCAGGTCAAGAGTCTGGGTGGCATCCTAGACAGCACACTATCCTTCCAATCTCATATCAATAGCATCACACGGTCAACTTATTTCCATCCTCGTAACATTAATCGTCTTCGCCCCTCCCTTGATGTCCACTCTGCATCTATTCTTGTCCATGGTCTGGTTAGATCACGTATCGATTATTGTAACTCTCTTCTCTCAGGCCTCCCTCAGAAAACCCGCCGTAAGCTCCAGTTGGTTCAGAATGCAGCCGCACGCATCATCACTAAAACTCCCATCTCTCATCACATCACCCCCATCCTCAAACAACTCCATTGGCTACCAGTGCACACCAGGATTAACTACAAGAATCTCCTTCTCACCTTCAAGGCCATCCATAACCTCGCCCCTCACTACCTCACAGATCTCGTTCACCTCGTCCCGTTCCCTCAGGTCCTCCTCCATTCATCTCTCTGGGCCCTCCTTCCGTCTCAGCACCATGGGGAGTAGAGCCTTCAGCCGCACCGCTCCCAAACTCTGGAACTCCCTTCCCCCTCTCATCAAGAACATTAACTCATTCACAGAATTAAAAAAAAAACTCAAAAATCACCTCTTCATAACCACATATCAGCTTTGAATTTTAGAGTGCCTTGTTTGTTCATGTTTACGTATGTTTACTTACTGAATGATTTGTGTTTTTATTCCGTACAGTCTCCTTGAGTGACCAGAAAGGCGCTTTTAAATAAAATATATTATTATTATTAAATATGTTTATACATTGAGAAAAAAATAGATTTAATTATAAAAGAGAATTAAAATGTTAAACACTCAAAACGTATCTAAAATTGGCACCGTTAAGTACCGTATCGATTCCTAGGTACCGGGAATTAGTACCGAATCGATTCAGATGTCAAAGGTACCCATCCCTGGTGCAGGAAACCTGTAGCACCATCAGGATGATTAGAGTGGTGCGTGAGCTCCAATACCCAAACTGAACATCTCAAGTGTTGTGTTTTAGCAAATGTTAAGTTAAATGAAACCTTTTGTGTTGTTGTTTGTTCCAGATTATGTTTACTTTGAGAATTCCTCCAGCAACCCTTACCTGATACGGAGAATAGAAGAGCTCAACAAGGTCAGTGGCTTTGTTTTTCCCCTTTCAGTTGATTTCAGTTCAGTTTTTTATATAGCGCCAAATCACGGCAAGAAGCGTCTCAAGGCACTTCACAAAGTAAAGTAAATGCTTTGAATGCAGCGTGTGATACTGTGATGTACATCATCTATGTTGGGCTGGGTGGTATGTCTTAAAATACAATCTCAGATATTTTTCATCCCAAATCCGATTTCCTATTTAATTAATTTTCTCTCCCTTTTCTTTCTTAAACAGAAATTACAAATGAAAAAAAAACTACATACAAGCTGTAAACCCTGCTTGGTAAACAAGATAATATAGTTAAAGCTTTTTAAATGCTTCCTTAGATTATTTTGAAAAGTGTTAAAATTGGCATTCTGCTGTATTGTAGACTGAAATTTTTGCTGCCAATGTTTGATGTGTTTATTATAGCTGTTTTACCTTTTAACCACTTGAATAAAATCCTTTATGTCAAAAGCAAACAGATCTTTCAGAACGTCTGTCAGCATGAACGGAGCAGATGTAGTCATGTAGATGTGTGCACATCTCAGTTTATATGCATAAGGTCATATACCACACATTTATACTACTAGACAAACAAAAAACAGCACGGACACAAGGCCAACGTGTGTGGGATTAAAAACGTTTGCGTTGGCCGGGAACCGAACCCGGGTCAGGTTAATGTTTGGAATGGAGCTATGACATACACCAAGACGTCTGAACCAACAGTTCAGTTTACAACTATTTCCCAGTGACCAAAGAAGCTTTTTATACATTACATATCATACACGGTTCGTTATTTCATTGTGCTAATGTTTTGATTTAGCGTGAATGCTACAGTAGTTTTGTGTTGGTATTGGACTAAACTATTCACCAGCGTGTGTAAGCAACCAAACTTTAATTGGCTGCATTAATGCTTTATGACCAGATTGAACCAGAGGCTTCTCAGGTGCGTTGAATGCGTGCTGCAGCAGAGCCAACTATCCGGCAGTAGCGGGTTTTAGTGAATGTCTGGACACTGTCCTCCAACGGCAGCACGATTGAAAACACAGCAGCGGATGATTTGGGGACTTCCAACTTCTTTCTGCTAAAATCGTAATGTTAAGGCAATGTTTTCTTTGGGGAAACATTCGTGCAAACATATTTAATCAAACAGCATTTTATGTAAGACCTTACTCTAAACTACGGAACTCCAGGAGTGGAGAAAGAGTCTGATTTTCCCAAAATTACATCTTCATAAATGAGAAATTCAAATTCTATGATAAAATGGATTTATCGCCGGCTCAGTAGGTCATTCATCTGTTAGACATCCTAGCTAACATTGATTTTGAAAGATAGGATTTAAAAGGACTGGGTACCCTGAAAGTTATTAGCACTGGGACTGGAACCAGTTGCATAACAGCAACAGCATACAACACTGAGCTGTTTCCCAGTCAGAGGATTAACTCATTTATATAACACTCTTAAATGAAGGAACTTGTGCAGACTGCCGGCTGCTAAAGGGAGCTAATTCTACATGAGTAGAAGGAGAAACGGCACATCTGTCATCTAGACCCAGACCGAAATGAAAGCATTGTTAAGTTAGGGACTTACGGTCTAAAACAACATAAGTGAAAGCATATATCATCATAGCAGTGATCATGCTGGGGACCAAAGCAAGAATAGATCTAAATTATTACAGCTTTCAGTAAAACGCTGTCATCTCCCTCTAACTCGTGTCCTACAGCTAAATAAAATATCATTCCATGTGTTTGTAGAGACTACCCCACAAGAGTGGTAGATGACTGAGCGTAACTGGAAACAACATTTCTGGTCTCACAGACATGGACGTAATCTTCACTTTAGAAGTGGGGGGGACACGGGGGGGGGGGGGGGGTATCTTTACAGTACGCTCTAATGGGAAACCGGCTTCAACACAAACGGCTGTTTTCCGCTTGGTCCTTGAACTCAACCAGTGTCAATATAATATAGCGTGATATTGTTTTTGGATGGTGAACAGTGCAGGGGTCAAAACTTGACTTTGGAAAAAGTGGGGGGGACATGCCCCCCCCCCTTCCCCCAAAACTATTACATCCATGCTCACAGAGGTTTCTGCACACATGGTACCTGATGAGGTTTTTTTACATGTACTTTAATACTATTGGATTTAGCTGACTAATAGTACATACTGAAGAGAGTAATGGTGAAAGACATCTAAATAAATATATTGAGTTTGATCAAATCAAATTAGCTTTTTCTTCAGTTGGCTGAGTCTTTGTGCCGTTAACCAAGTTAATGCAATAAACAAGATGCATGAGTTTTCTGGCTGTTTCTCTTCTTACTGGATAGAGAAACTCCATAATGGAGAAGGACAAAAGCAGGCTGGCTGTAGAGAACGTCTAAGCCGCGCCCCTTTGCAACATTATAGTCCTGACTTTAACCACAGACTGTCCACCTACAGACAGCCAATGGAAACGTGGAGGCGAAGGTGGTGTGTCTGTTCAGGAGGAGAGACATCTCAGGCAACCTCAACACACTGGCTGACAGCAACGCAAGTGAGTAGCACCCACAGACCTCCTCTCAGGGCTTCTTTAGTGCAACACGAGTGTGTGTGTGATACAGCTCGCTGCCTTTAATGAGCCTGTTCCTCATTGTGTTTCACATAAAAGCCTCAGAGCACCTCCTCAGCTTTTATGTTGTGAATGGCAGAAGGTTTGCTCCAGGGTTAAATGAACAACATCACTTTTCCTGAAGCACGTCCATTTCGAGAGACTCCTTACATCCTAGAAAAAACTGCTGTTAGGCTTGGCATTCAAACCATTTGTCCAATTAACCTCACCACCCAAATCCAGCCATGGATAGGTATACTCCAAGGTGACAATTCCAGGATTCGTTGGGCTGAAATAATGAAAGAGTGGTTCAGGGAACCCGATTTTCACTCATGGATCAGGTTTGGGATGCGCTGGAGAAGGATCTAAGCCAGGGGTGGGCAATTATTTTTTCCTTGGGGCCACATGAGAAACAGAAAATATTGTGGAGGGCCAGGCCAAAAGGCTGAAGTCAATTATGCATAATATTAATGGTATTTCTTTATAAAAAGCAGTAAATACCATCATTTTTTCAAGCTGGTAAGAGTAGACTATATGTTATAAATGAGCAAAAAGGAAAAAGTGAGGTTGGCTTACAAAAATGTGATTTATTCAAATTTCCCAAGGCAATGGTAAACAAAGTGCGCATTTGGTTTTTGTTAAACATTTGTGACTTATATTAGTTAACAGTTTCAGTCACATTCACTCCAAAACACATTCTGACTTTCAAATATTGTTGGAAAGAGGTTCTTAGCATTCTACAGACACACAGTATTGTCTGTAAAATAAAATAACTCAACTGTGATCTTGAGAAGGAGGTTTAAAAAAAGTGTCCCAGTTCACTGCTAGCTGCCTACATTTGTGGTCCAAACACCTTATTTTGTGTTTTTAAGCGATTTTTTCTTATTCAGTGAGAGAAATCTAGTCTCTGCTGGGCTTTAACGAGTGCATCAAAGTCAGGTTGAATGTCTGAGGTGGAGATGCGAAGCACAGCTGACAAATGATCTTCAGTGAGAGAGGATCTATACCTGGATTTTGTAAACTTCATCATTGAAAATGTTTGTTCACAAATGTAGGTAGAGCCGAAGAGAACCAACATCTTCTGAGCATGTCTCCTCAGGTTTGGAACGTTCTCCTCCTTAAGAGAAGAGTAGAAATCCAGCAGAGATCCTGAATCTCTGCTTTCAAGTCCCAAACCCTCTTCAGCACTTTCCCCAGGCTGAGCCATCTGACAGCTGTGTGGGGTCCTCCAAAAGAGCCACAAACTGTCTGTGATTCATCGCCCACGCCCTGATGAAGTTTATTATTTTAGTAACAACATCAGTAACATGGTTGATTTTTAGCACTGACTTGCACAACACATGTTGGTGTATAATACAATGCAAAAACACCTATTTTTGATCTGCATCGATTTCTGTCACTTTATCTTGCATGCGTTTCTAAAGTCTGACATTTTACGCCGGGGACACACTGGCCGCGGAAGCGCCGCGAAAATGGGGCCGCCTTCATTCGGCGCCCTTGTTAAGCTATTCTATAGACCACATGGGCCGCCGAAGCGCTGCGAATCGCCTCGCGCCGGTGCGCGCCGGCGCCCCAGCCCGCGCCGTGCAGCGATCATTTCGGCGTCGGCTCTATTTTTTCCGCGAGCCGTGGGTGAATCGCGTCAATTCTGGCAGGAAGTCAAACCTAGACATAAGAGGCAGGCCGGTAACGTTAACAAAAAAGTATTTCAAAATAAAATTACGCAATCAAATGTGTTCGTAATCAGACACTGCAGAAAAACCACACGAACACACACACATCGAACTTGTGTGCGTGTGTGACCGCGTGAAGGGGGGTGTGGTTTTGGGTGTCTTTTCACGGAGCAAACAGGACAGAGAGGCAGAAAGTCTGAGGCAAGCAGTTAGGATGGATGACTTTAAATTAATTATGGAAGTTGAGAAACACAAGGAGCTGTACAACCCCCGAAAAACGTGGTTATTTACGTTCCCATGTCGGAAGAAACTGCTAGGATACAGCTGCAGAATTGGAGCGGGTTCCAAGAGATTCAACTGGCAGAAACTTAGGTTCACACACACACACACACACACACACACACACACACACACACACACACACACACACACACACACACACACACACACACACACGGTGTGTCCACGTTCAAGGAAAATATTTATTTATAATATTATTTCACACACACCTACGCGCGCGCGCACAAACACTCAAACGTAGAGGAAAAAAGCTGAGAAAAGGCAGAGAGGAAATGGAGGACACCAAGTGTTTAAAAGAAAAACTACAGCTGAGCCGAGGCGCGCCTCGACTGGGGCGCGTCTGATCTGAACTGAGGAGCGGCGAGCAGCGGCCGAATTTCGTGAGCGATTCGCTTCTCGGCGCTTTGCGGCGCTTCCGCGGCCGGTGTGTCCCCGGCGTAAGATTTGGACAACCGTCTGTTGTGACACCTGACAGTCTCTCCCATTCAATCCCAGAGTGTCCGTGCACGCATTTACCTCTGTAAAAAGATCACTCCCTGTCGTCCCTTTCATCGACCGCATTGCTGCCCGCTCCTCTGTGAGCCTGAAGTCCGTTATCCCCGGACAAATACGAGCAGCTGGGCTGTGTCCCGGACATCACAGCTCTCGTCTAATGAGAAAAAGTCAAAACTTGCCACTTCACGTTGCAGCTGAAGCTCCAGGTTCCCCACGGTTCACCTGGACAGCGGGATTTGCTCAAATGCGCCTTTCTTTCAGGGCATATTAGTGCTGCGGAGTCCACCATGCACTCTTTGACAAACTCTCCCTCCGAAAACGACTTGCTGTTTTTAGCTATTTTGTGGGATATCACAAAGCTGGTCCTGGTTGCTGCATCCCTGGATGTGTGAAGCTTAGTAAAACAGCCTTGCTGCTTTTGCAACTTTGCTAGCAAAGCTTCGGATGTCCGTGCCCTCTCAGCTCTCAGCATCAGACAAGTTCTTGTATTTTTCCGAGTGTTTCTTGTCGTAATGCCGACTCAAATTGTAGTCCTTAAACACGGCAATCTCCTCCCCGCAAACCAAACACACGGCTTTACCTCCGACTTCAGTAAAAAAAATACTTAGCAGTCCAATTTTTGTTGAAAATCCTGCATTCGGCATCTTTCTTTCTTTTCTTTTTTTTTTTTTTTTTTTTGCATGAGCGGACATTTCTCGGGCTACAATCACCATGTCAACCGCGGGCACCTGTTGCTATACGTATTGCGTCATTGTGCACGTAAAAAACAACTTCAAAATAAAAGCAATGCAGCCTTAGCCCATGCATGAGGTAAAATGAGAAAATACATTTATTTTGTAATTTCCAATTAACCTTACTCGGGCCAGTCAAAGTCAACCAAAGGGCCGTATGTGGCCCGCGGGCCGTAAAATGCCCAGGTCTGATCTAAGCAGTGGTTGGACTCTCCCATCATCAATACAAGATTATAGTGAAAGATTAATGCAACACTGCATGAAAATAAATGTTTACAAATAAAAAAAAACACCACAGTGATTGTGTGCTGTTATCAAAGCCAAAGGACGTCAAATGAACTCATAAAGAATCTTTTCATATCAGTCACACTTTGGCTTTTTCATCCATGGACGTTTACTTCAGTTGAATTAGAATCAGTTCAACAGGTTTCAGAAGTTATGGCATTAAACAGCTATAGGGAATGCACGAATCACACGATTCTCACTCCAGCACCAACTAGAACCAACGTCAAAGGGTCAAAGTTGATTTGGAAGTGCATTTTACACAGTGTACTTTTAAGATCTCAGACATTCTATGATCTTGATCTTTTCTAATTAATAATTAATGTCCAGATAATTTTTTTAACGGCATCAGCATGCCTAAGGACTGTCAGCTGAACACTTTTGAGTTGTACACAAATATTAACGACCAACAAACCACCACAATGTACGACGTTGGCTCAGTGGGAAAAAAAAGCACATGTGAGCTTCCGTGTGGCAACGTCGCACAGAAAGAAGAGCTAAATGTAACTCACTGTGCGTTTTTGTTTATTTAACAGCAGTTAGCTTTTCACCAAGCATGTGTCTTATATTTAGTCAACATACGTCCACCACCTTATTTTATCTGACTGTAAAAACTTGGAGGGTTGCTAATGACATGCAAACTAATGAAGATTTGGTTTAGCCACCCAGTTTAGAGTTTGGACCTTTGGAGATCCTTATTTTGGTCCAGAACCCTGTAATCTTTGCCCAGTGGGACATCCCTACTTATTTGTGCTTTTGTTTTAATTCCCCACAGGCAGAATTAGTTTTATTATTCCCAACCTGTGGATGGAAAGATTTATGTTTTTTTTGTAGTTGTAAACAAACTTGATCATCATTTTAACTTTTAAATCCCACATTATTGTCCCTTCCTTTTTGCACACGAGCCAAACTCCCCAGGAAGAGTCGTAACACCACTCGCCTCACGCTCATAAGTGACCAAAACAAAGCAGCATGGAGACACTCCGTCTCCAACCACCTCTCAGGCAGCAGCCTGCACTCCCAAGTTCTACACGTCACCAGAACATAACCAACCAACACAATAAACGCAGTGTTATACAAAATGGAAGGCCTGTAGTGTTTATTCTCTTACAGTAACAATTGATCAATTTTTTTGAGGAATTTATTTGAGATTTTCTGGTTTTTATTAACTGTGCAATAGAAAAATAATCATTAGATTAATTTTCTAAATAGTCATTAGAATAGTCGACTATTCGATAAAATAATTGTCAGAATAATCGTTTTAAAAATAATCGTTTACCCCAGCCCTAGTGGGAACGCATGTGCATGTATGCATGTGCATGTATGTATGTTGTGCATGTATGCATGTGCATGTATGTATGTATGCATGTGCATGTATGTATGTATGCATGTGCATGTATGTATGCATGTGCATGTATGTATGCATGTGCATGTATGTATGTATGCATGTGCATGTATGTATGTA